ACACATTTGAAAAAGTTTTATCAGTAGCCAATGATAGGTCATGTATGAGATCGAGGATTCCAAGAAATCTGAATAAAGTGCGTGGATTGCAGCCAATCGTCCCAGGGACTCGGCGAGAGAAAGATAGGAAACAAGGGCCCAGACCCTTAGACGTTTCCGTGAAAAAGCCAAAAGGAGTCGCCTCGACTGAGGGACTCGGCAAGTATATATAGAAACAACGGGGCACTGACCCTAAACCGTTTCTGAGAGCAGAAAAAGCCTAAAGGGTCGCATCGGCTGAGGGACTCGGTGAGAGAAAGATAGGAAACAAAGGCCCAGACCCTTAGACGTTTCCGTGAAAAAGCCAAAAGGAGTCGCCTCGACTGAGGGACTCGGCAAGTATATATAGAAACAACGGGGCACTGACCCTAAACCGTTTCTGAGAGCAGAAAAAGCCTAAAGGGTCGCCTCGACTGAGGGACTCGGCGAGAGAAAGATAGGAAACAAAGGCCCAGACCCTTAGACGTTTCCGTGAAAAAGCCAAAAGGAGTCGCCTCGACTGAGGGACTCGGCAAGTATATATAGAAACAACGGGGCACTGACCCTAAACCGTTTCTGAGAACAGAAAAAGCCTAAAGGGTCGCCTCGACTGAGGGACTCGGCGAGAGAAAGATAGGAAACAAGGGCCCAGACCCTTAGACGTTTCCGTGAAAAAGCCAAAAGGAGTCGCCTCGACTGAGGGACTCGGCAAGTATATATATAGAAACAACGGGGCACTGACCCTAAACCGTTTCTGAGAACAGAAAAAGCCTAAAGGGTCGCCTCGACTGAGGGACTCGGCGAGAGAAAGATAGGAAACAAGGGCCCAGACCCTTAGACGTTTCCGTGAAAAAGCCAAAAGGAGTCACCTTGACTGAGGGACTCGGCAAGTATATATAGAAACAACGGGACACTGACCCTAAACCGTTTCTGAGAACAGAAAAAGCCTAAAAGGTCGCCTCGACTGAGGGACTCGGCGAGAGAAAGAGGGGAAACAAGGGCTCAGACCCTTAGTCGTTTCCAAGAGAAAAAGCAGAAAGGAGTCGCCTCGATTGAGGGACTCGGCGAGAAATGGCTGGGAGAAAAGGGTCCAGACCCTTAGTCGTTTCTCGGAAGAAGCGTAAAGGAGTCACCTCGACTGAATAAGATTCAAAACTTTAGAAGAACGCCAATATTAAAAGAGCCCAGAAGACAAACTCCGTGAAAAGAGAAGGGAAAGCTGTTTTTTTATTAAAATACGGCCGATAAGGAGGCCAGCCCTTACAAAAGAGGGTCTATTCTAAAAAGACCCTAGGCTACAGGGGGGGGGTAACCGACGGCGACCCCTTCAACTTGCGCCCCCGCCGATGGTCCAGCAAGGGGAACAGAGGAAGGGTCCTCCGCCTGAGGAAAGGACTCGGCGAGCTCTGGAGGCGTCGCCGCAGGAAGAGTCGCCGGGTCAGTAGGCGCAGCCGGTCCATCAGCGTCCAGCACCGGCTTGAGACCCCAGCTCTCGGGAGTGAACGAGGAGTCGCGGGCCAACAAGGTAGCGTAAATCTCCATCTGCGCCTCGCGGAAGCCGAGGCGGTAATCCCGCTCGCCCAGGTCTAGGAGGAAATCATCACCCTCTGGAGTCGCCAGCCACTCCTTGGCCACCTCTCTCCTCCGAGCTGCCACCACCGCCTGCACATCCGCCTCGAAGGCCGCCGACTTCTTATAATCTGCGACAGAAGTCGCGGCGATCGTGGCCACTCTGCCCTTCTCCTCCTCCCACTGACGGGTGACCCTCAGCAACTCGGCGTTGTGCACCTCCACCATCTTGAGCTGCTTCGCCTGCTCTTCCAGGAGAGCTTCCTCTGTCTGGCGCTGCTTAGCGGTCATGGCCCGCATATCATTCCTAAAGCCCTGGAACCGATTGCCCAGTTCCATCTGGAGGGCGAGGTCCTGCACACCAAACCGTCAGTCGAACGGAAAAGAAAAACTTACACCACTTGCGAATAGGTAAAACAGAGGGAAAAGGCCGAATGGGTAAAACTTACGCGATACGACTGACGGAGCAAGGCCTTGATGATGAACCCGTCGCCAAGAGCACGGGTCGACTCCACATCCTTTGGCAGAAGGACATCCTTGCACCACTTGCGAACAGAGGTGTTGCCCATCCAGATTTGGGCATCCTCGTCCACCTCGTGGCATAGCCGGATCCTCTTCGGAGTCGGCCCCTCCGTATACTCAGCAGGCCGCTTAGAGCTCGGACTCTCAGTAGAAGGAGGAGGCGGCTGCCGACTGGGCGACACCACGGGCGAAGGTGTGAGGTCAACCACGTTGTGGGAAGGTGGAGGAGTCGGTCGAATCACCGACGACGGCTGAGAAGAGGACGCGGCGGCAGCACCGGTAGAGCGTTGCGTCAAGCGACGCCTCATCTTTTCCGCTCTATTTGCCATCTCAGGGGTCGGTGCGATTGCCTCGCCGGAGCTGGAGGAGTCGGAATCGTACGGACCTGCAAAAGAAATCCGCTCACTTGTGAGGGTTCCCGTAGGAAATAAGAAGCAAGTCGAGAAAGAGATGAAAAAGACGCTACCTACGGTGGCGGCGCCCTCCGGCAGAAGGCCATGCTTGGCCATGGCCCGGACTCGGGACCAGTACTTGACGGAGTACGGCCCGAAGCCCTTCAAGAAGTCGCCGCCCATAACAGCATCCTCCGTAAAGACGGCGCGCCGAGAGCAGGGCTTGAAGAGAGTCGCCGGCCAAAGGGTCGGAAAGGTGAAGGAAGAGGAGCGAGGTCGGACGAAGAAATAAAGAGGCTTCCACTCTTTTATCGAGTCGGACAACCCCTCGAAAAGTTGTCGCCCCGGACGGGCGGCGACTTGGATGAAACCGGGCGAATGGGAGCCGACCTTGTTCACGGTAAAGAGATACCGGAACAGGTCCAAATCCGGCTCGCACTGCCACCAATGGCAGAGATTGATGAAGCTGGTCAGGAGTCGGTGTGAATTAGGCACTAACTGGCCCGGGACCAAGTTATAGTGCCGAAAGAGGAGCGAAAGAAATGGATGTGGAGGCACTCGGAAGCCGAATGCGACCGAATGCAAGTGGATACCCACAAAACCCTCCGGTGAGTCGTGGATAGGCCGGCTCTCCGCCGCGACGACCAAGGCCGAAGGGCCAAGCAGAAAGCGGGCCATGTCTAGGTCCGCCGCTGTGGTCAACGACGGAAGACTGGACGGCCGGACGACCGAGTCAAACTTGCCTCGCGGCCGTACAATGCCGCCCGGCAAAGCAGCCACCGTAGTCAACGGGGCTGGGCTCATCGGAGTGGCCGCCTCAGAAGAAGAAGGGGCTAAGAGCGAAGAAGAAGACACCGCCTGGAAGCCCGCCGGCATTTCCAGGCGGCGAACGACGGAAGAAGAAGAAGAAGATGACGGAGAGGTCCCCGCCGGATTGTCAAAAGACGGCCGACGGGAGGAAGAAGAAGAATGAGAAGAGGAAGGCATTACTTACAGATTGGAGTTGAGGCTGAGAAGACGATGAAAGAGCAGAAGCTTGGTGGGAGAAGTGAAGAAGAAGAATGGAAGGAAAATGCCTTTTAAGGGGGGAAAGAAGTCCAAGAGGTTGCCACGCGGCGCCTCCGTAGTAGAGGAATCGGAGGCGACAAGACGTTGAAGGGACGCCGCATTTAATGCCTCGATGGGCGGAACGACGGTTCAGGCCTAGGGCTAGCCTGCAAGCGGCGCGTCTACCCTAGACCGAGGATGAGTGACAACGACCCGGCCTGCCAGGCCAAAGGCCCATCAAGGCAAAAGCCATGGGGGCCCATTCAGATCACGCTAGAAGTTTCTAGAAGTGACCCGGCTGGGTCCGGCCAAATGGAGGGGCCCAGACGAGCTTCAGGTCGCAAGGTCGGCCGACGGATTTGCCGAATCCGTCACCCACAGGGCTTAGTCGAGCAGAGTTTACAAGTCGGTCATAACGACTAAGAGTCGGCCAAAGGAACACGCAAAAACCAGGAACCAAAAAGTAAAAACGAGATTTTATTCCATAAAGACAGGGGTACAAGGCCGAGGACTCGGCCACAAGCGTTACACAGAAAAGACGGGCTTAGGGCTTAACTTCCTCCTCCTCCGCGTGATGCACCGGCTGCGGACCCTCCAGGTAGTAGTGGGGGCGGAAAGGCAACGGACTCGGCTCAGGCTCGGGCTCGGGCAGTTCATCCAGATACACGGCAGGCTTCTCGTCAACAACCATCCGCAGGGGCCTCTCCAGAGCACTCGGTGACATGGCCACGCCAAAAAGTGGAGGAGCCTCCCAGTCTAGGTCCTCCTCTGGCTCTGGGTCTTCCACCATGGGCACCATCTCGTCCTCCTCCGGCTCCACGACCATCAGATCAAGCATGTCAGGAGGCACCACGATGGGATCAGAAGTGGAGTCGCCCACCAAGTGCCCTCCGCTAGCCGCCCTCTTCCGTCGGAGCTCCTCCTGCCGGGCATGCTCCTTATTACGGATGGACCAACGACGATCACCGTCCCTGAAACTCATAGCTTGAGGTTTTGAAATGTGAAATGGTGAGAAAGCACAGAGCTACCAAGAGCCCTTATATAGAGCCTCGAGAGAACGACGACCGAGGCGCAAATCACGGAGGGAATCGTAACTGACATAACTGAGCCGGATTGGATGGGCAGCGCGAATCTCTGTCAGAGATTAATCCCATCCAATTAGCTCGGGAAGGGTGAGATTCGCACACTAAACTGAAAAAAGCCTGGCTCGCCCTGGGAAGCGAGATTTTACAGGTGTCAAGCGGAGGGAGGACTCGACATCTCGGCCGACTCCTTGACAAATGGGACGGACGAGTGCACTAAATATACTGAAAAAGATGAAAACTGAAGGCCGAAAACATTTTATTATAAAATAAAGAAGGTGCAGGTTACAAGGAGCTTATTACAGAGTGAGCAAGTGCTCCTAAAAGGACTACCCCTCTAGAGAATCCGGCCGACCCCAGTTCACAAAGATCACTCACTCGGCGAGAAGGAGTCGCTTCCAAAGAACCCTCCCGATGGTCCAGGAGAGGGTGGGCAAAGCGAGTCCCAGAACGCCGGCATAAGTGGTGGCACGACCAGTTCTTCGTCGTCCGGGTACATCTCCTGATAACGAGCAAAGTCTTCCTCGTTCATTAGCCCTGTAACCGGACCGTCCAAGTCATCCAGAGGAATAGAAAAGGTCATACGGAAGGTCAGTTGCTCTGGGGCAGGCACGTCAACAACGGTCCCGCCTGGGGAAGTTACTCGAGCAGTCCCCGGAGGAGGAGAAGGGCGAGAAGTCGGAGCGACTTCACGACGAGCAGGAGTCGGCGGATGAAGAGCCATGGAGGCGGCGCCAACAGGTGATCTCTGTGGAGTCGGACGGGGAGCCTTCCTTTTAGGCTCCCTCTCAGGCAGAGTCCGTTTCGAAGGCAAGGGGCGCCGGGGCGACCCAAAATCAATTCGCTTCCCTTTCAGTGGTGAGCGACCCATGGGGAGTTAGTAAGTTAAGAGAAGAACGGCCGAGATCATTTATAGGTGCCAGGCCAGACCAAGGAGATCAGAACGGTCCCGCGAGATCCGGGAGATAGCGAATAATCTGGGCCAATCCTGAGTCATTCAAGGCACAGATTCGGTGAGCAGGAGGCGGTTACTACTTTTCCAAACCCAGGTTAGCGGACCGGATATGGAAAAGTGAGGGACTAGTTGATGGGGTGAGAACCCCGGCCCAAGAAAAGAGGCCCAGAAAGAATGCATGGGCCGAGTCCAGGACTCGGCCCAGGTTCGAAGAAGGAGGCCCAGTTCAAAGCCCGGAAGGACGGCCCAATGCCAAACGGGGACGAGAAGTCGGCCCAGGCCCGGCCCAGGAGAAGACTCGGTCCAGAGAGCCGTTGAGGGAGCCTTCAGAGCGGTCAAGGCAAGGAGCCGTTGAGGCATTAAAAGTCGGACTCGGTCCGCCAGTTATTAACCTGAGAGAGCCGTTGGCGGAGTCCGTAACGTCACCCAAACGGCTCGACACATTGAATGTAATCTTTAAGTCGGCCATCATGGGCCTTTAAGTCAGTAGAGGAGGAGCCACTATAAAGAGGGCTCCTCCACCCTTGTAAGAGGCAGATTGGAGAACCCGGAGAGGGAATAGAGAGCACTATTGAGCATCATACTTACCTAAAAATCTAGACTTTTTGTGAAAGGTGTATCCTCCAGCTTAAGGTTGTGTTGGACCTCCTTGGGCCCGAAAACCCAAAAACCATCAATTATTATTATTATTATTATTATTATTATTATTATTATTATTATTATTATTATTATTATTATTGTTATTGTTATTGTTATTGTTATTGTTATTGTTATTGTTATTGTTATTGTTATTGTTATTGTTATTGTTATTATTATTGTTATTATTATGTTATTGTTATTGTTATTGTTATTGTTATTATTATTATTATTATTATTATTATTATTATTATTATTATTATTATTATTATTATTATTATTATTATTGTTATTGTTATTATTGTTGTTATTATTGTTGTTATTATTATTGTTATTATTATCTATAACTCCCTAACATAAACACCTATTCACTACCCTCTTGAAACCACCCATAAATCCTCTACTAAATGCCCTAACGGACACTTTTTGATGGGCTAGCTATAAAAAAGAGGAAGGGAGCAAGAAGTGAAGGGGGGCAACGATTCTTACATACGAGGAGGTCACATAGCACTCTTCCACAAACACTCTCTCAAGAAGATTCCAATCACGTTATTCAGATGAATGTAGAACCGTGATAATTGTATTTAGTTATATGTCTAACAATAAAGTATTTACACGATATATAGCTTTAGAGTCCTATACAACAAAGACATACTGATAGAATATAACTCTAGACTAGATAAGCTCTAATACGCCCCCTCAAACTCAAGGAGGTAAGGACACAACATTGAGTTTGTCACGCAAAAAGGAAAACCGAGAGGAGCCGAGGGCCTTCGTGAGGATATCGGCCAACTGGTCCTTCGTAGAGATGAAGTGAACCGCCAAGTCCCCTGAAGCGACCTTATCCCTTACGAAATGGTAGTCAATCTCCACGTGCTTTGTCCGAGCATGAAAAACGGGGTTCGCACATAGATAGGTGGCCCCCAAATTATCACACCACAACCGAGGAGGTGAAGATAGCCGAAGACCCATCTCAGCTAACAAAGAAACCAGCCAAGACACCTCAGCTGACGCATCTACAAGCCCCTTGTATTCAGCCTCAGTAGACGACCGAGCAACAGTCTTCTGCTTGCGACACACCCAAGAAATCAGATTGTTGCCAAGGTAAACAGCAAAGCCACTCGTAGATTTCCTATCCACCGGGCAACCAGCCCAATCTGAGTCCGAAAAAGCATGGACAACAAGAGAATCAGACTTAGATATACAAAGACCAAACTGTAAGGTACCCTTCACATAGCGCAATACACGCTTCAAATCAGTCCAATGATCAACCGTGGGAGCATGCATCGACTGGCACAACCTGTTAACCGCATAAGATAAGTCAAGACGAGTAATAGTTAAGTACTGAAGAGCACCCGCAAGCCGGCGAAACAAAGTAGGATCCGGCAACGGGTTAGACTCGGCAGGAGACCCCGACTTCGTAGTAGAAACAGGAGTAAGAATGGGCTTACAGTCCTCCATTCCCACACGCCGCAAAATATCAGACATATAGCGACATTGAGACAACACCAACGCGCCATCACGGCCACAGTCTCAATACCCAAGAAAAACCGTGGAGCACCCAAGTCTCGAATCTTGAAAGCACCAGCAAGACGATTGAACAACGCTGACACAAGTGCAGAATCACTACCCATGATGAGGATGTCATCCACATAAACGAGCAAGTACACACGGCAGTCAGACTCCGCATAAATGAAAAGAGAAGATATGAGCATAGATAGGATTGTCTGGTCTTGCTGCGTCCAGACACCAAACGCTGGATTGATGACAGCAGTAGAACCACCAGCGGAGGGAAGGAACTGCACTGGACAAGGAAGTGAACCATCGACATAGCCGATGAGGTTCTGCTCGCGGAGAAACGGCACCAACTGCGTACGCCAGAACATGTAGTTCTTGGACGTAAGCTTCAACGAAACAAAGTGATGCGCACCCTGAAGAGAGATGGGTGTCGCCGGCGACGCAGAAGAAGGCGCAACAGTGACGGTACAGCTATCGGAGACAGAAGAATTATCGGCCATACCTGGAAGCTGATACCAGATGAATGTAGAACCGTGATAATTGTATTTAGTTATATGTCTAACAATAAAGTATTTACACGATATATAGCTTCAGAGTCCTATACAACAAAGACATACTGATAGAATATAACTCTAGACTAGATAAGCTCTAATAATTCACACATGGGAGGACTCTCCCAAGAAGACCACTCATCCATACACATGGAAGGACTCTTCCACACCATTCCATCACTCTTCTTTCTATTATTCTTGCTATATTATTAGAAGCACAACACTTTGTATAGATATAGCCCTACAAGTATGTACAAAGACACCTACAAAATACATAGTGGAGCTAGGCTTGACACCGCCCAAAAAGGCCCGTGGTTTTCCTTTCGGTTTCCACGTCAAAATCATCGAGCCATATTATTTTAGCAAGCTTTTTATTGAAAGGTGTATCCTTCAGTTAAAGGTTGTGTTGGACCTCCTTGGGCCCGAAAACCCAAAAACCATCAATATCGTAATTAATATGACGATGACCTAACAGAGCAACTAGAGTGAAAGATGGGCATTACATGACGAAAGAGTGGGGATACCAGCTTCGAAAAGAATGGTTGAAAGGTGAACTCTGGTGAAGTTAACTGTGCAGCTGATAGATGACCTCCTCCTTTTGATTTAAAAAGTATATCGAGTTTTTGGTATATTTTATTTTTATTTTATTTTTAATTACTAAATACGGAGAAAATAAATAAATAAATATGAAGTTGTCATTGTATTCATAAAATTTGCATTTTTCTTTTTCTTTATCCAATTTTTGCATTTGATCAAGGTTCATTGTCGTGGTCTAAGATTATTAAAATTAAAAAAAAATACGGTGACAATTTGGTAATTTTTGCATCTAGGTCAAATTTAAGGTGAGTGATTTTTGTGCTTAAGGTGCGTGAGTTTTGTGCTTAAGGTGCGTGAGTTTTGTGCTTAAGGTGCGCAGATTGTGTACTTAATGTGAGTAGTTGTTGAAACTTAAGGTGCGTGAGTTTTGTGCTTAAGTGCGTGAGTTTTGTGCTTAAGGGCAATCGTTATGCTATGGACCCGTATCCAGCATGCATGCTGGACACGGGTAACAATGCTGTTAGTGGCACTGTTATCTTCCACCTTTTTTTTTTTTTAAATTCAGACCGCTTCGTTATAGGAGTATATGTTCATAATTTTATTACTATATGTTCATAATTGTAAATTCATAATGTCAGAGCTCTATGTTCATAATTCCATAACTGTACATTCATACTTCCATAACTGTACATTCATAATTCCGTAACTGTACATTCATAATTCAATAACTGTAACTTCATAATTTTCGAAGCTCCATGTTCACAATTTTAGAGCTCTATGTTCATAATTTTATCACTATATGTTCATAATTGTAAGTTCATAATGTCAGAGCTCTGTGTTCATAATTTTATAACTTATATTCATAATTCCATAACTGTACATTCATAACGGTACAAACGAATAACGCTGTTAACAGCGAGACGAAATCAATTTTTTTTTAACTGGAATGACGCGTTTTTCCTGAAAACGACGTCGTTTCGGACTCGTATCCATAATGCATTGTGAACACGGGTCCAGGGCATAATTTACCGCTTAAGGGGCATGAGTTTTGTGCTTAAATATTATTAGGTACACTTGTGTGAGACTTTCTCACGGATCCTTATCCGTGAGATAGACCCGGTTAATATGCAAATGTAATACTTATACTAGCAAATATAATACTAAATCAAGAGTAAAATATTAGTTACTTATAAGGAAAAATATAATACTTTTATATTTTAATGTAAAATTATTACTTTTCATAAAAATATATTATATTTTCCCTTATAAGTAATGTTGCACTTTTTTTTTTTTTTTTTGAAAATAAACCAAACTTTCATTAATTCAAATCAACATAAAGTTCGTTAACAATAAAAGACGGAGGGGACGAGTCCCACTCCTGACGCACAGACATAGAACAGGCCTCCCTAGCTAAGTTATGGGTTACACTGTTCGCAGTACGATAAACATGATAGATAGCAACGTCAACAGATGAACGAAGCATATCTTTAACATCAAGAAGAACAAGATCACAAGAAGACACGCTTTGGTCTTGATTCAGACTTTGAATGACCTGAAGCGCATCACATTCAACTCGAATATGGTGAATCCCCTTGTTCTTTACCCAACTTAATGCTTCCCTAATAGACATTGCTTCCGCCTCTTTTGGTGTTGGAACTCCACTGCATGGTATGC